AGTAGACGGCAGTCCTTTGAATGAAAGTCCGGCAGTTCACACAACGCACTTTCTCCTAGGTTCGCTATCTATCCGCTATTAAAGCGAGTTACCTATTGGCCTCAGGCGTGGCTTGGCTTTGCCATGAACTTTGGCTTCATAACCGCATGGGTATCCACCGCGGGGACGGTAAACGTTCCTCTGTTCATTTCAGTCACAACGGGCTGCTGGTGGTAAGTCCTCGTTTTCTGACCCTGACGCCGTCGAATTGATCACATCCCGAATTTTTGTTGGGTTCGACTCGTGTATCACAGCTGGACAATGCTTTACGGTAAGTCGTACCCCGGCTGCTGCCGCGTTTTCTCCGCTCCCCGGCGCTGTATACTGACTTGTCCCTTGTATCAATGTTTGTTAGACACAATTTACGCTTGTCAAGACATCGAAGACGATGTTAAAATGGGAGTAAGATCTACCGCCATTCTATTTGGCAGTTGGATTCGACCCCTCCTGATTGCGTGTGGGATTACCTTCCTCTTTTTGCTTGGCTATGCCGGTGTCCTCAACGACCAAGGACTCCCCTTTTTCGTTATATCCGTGGGCGGAACATTCGCGCATCTACTTTGGCAATACCGTACTGTCGACCTCACGGTACCATCAAGCTGTTGGCGTAAGTCATTTTTTCGTACAAGTTTTCCTGGGTGCCTCCCTCCCTGCTCCTGTGAAATCTGTGCTGAACGTGTTCCTATTCATTTTTACGCATACAGAGAACTTCATGAGTAATGGACAACTTGGTTGGATCGTTTGGGGCGGGCTTATGGCGGACTATGTGCTCCGAGATCTCGTCCTTGCAGAGTATGCATTACCATGGATTTCGTAGATGCCTCTTGTACATATATAGATGACTAGCACCACGATGCAGCGCATAATGACCACCACACTATAATTGCGAGTGCCATAGGAACGAATAAAATGTTATGAGCCCTGTTGTCTTAAGTCCCTTGTTGTCCCTGATGTCATGATCATTTCGCGATCGCGAGTGAGATGGGCAGCTAGACAGATGCATACTAAGTTCTGAATGTACAGCCGCGGTGTCGTTCCACTTATGGATTTTCTGCGAATCTCGGCCTCTTTTGCGTTCCGATCTCAGAGATGTTATAGAGCATTGGCTGTGGGATTCGACACTGACGATGCCGCGGGATCATTAATGTTCATCAAGCATATCAAAGCATCGTCTGCCAGTGCCAGAAGCTGTGAAAAATCAATCTTTGTCGGGATCTAATCAAGGGTTAGACTAAGGCCAGGATGAACACGACGTAGTACGACGAACGAGGGTACAGCCTTGATATCTCGGTACCATCTGAATTCATCATTCAACGCTCTTCCATGTAGCCTCCCAACAGCAACTTCCAAGCACCTTCTGATGATCTTTCAATGTTGCTGTGATCGATAGGGCATAGCAAATGGTATGGTATGTATATGTAGGGATAAGAAAAGGGCTCTGCACGACCCTCCTTCCACTACGTGTTTTCCGCTTCCCCCCCATGAACATTATACCGCACCGGCTGCTGTAAACGTCAATGTCACTCCTTCATATGTTGTGAGTGCGCTCGAATCTTCCCTCGATAGAGTATAACCGGAAACTGACACATCGGCGACGAGGGGCCAGGATAATATCAACATACATCACATTCGTTGTTTGCTCTGGGAAGACATTCACGTTGACGGCTGACCATCAACATCGGCGGGGAATAGATTCCAACCACCCTCGAGGCGGCGAGACAAGAGAATTTTCTAGGTACACCCTGGTTACCAAGGGTCTGAGCCTGAGGTGAGTTGAAATTAAAAGAGGGAGCGGGAAACGAGGAGTAATAGAATGGTTAAAATCCGGCCTTTGCTGACAAGTGACGTTTTTCCCCTTTCGACCCTTTGCTCCGTATAGGAACGAATCCTCGGACATTCGTGAAGATGGAGCCCAGACTCTGAGACCTCGTGCGGAATCCAAGCCCGACGGCAATGAGGTTCCTCCAGCCCTGATCATTGCGTGTGTTTTGGGGGCCATTCTCTTCCTCGTCACCTCGATCTCTCTAATCTATTGGTGGTTATCACGAACTGGCCGATGGCCTCGCAAACCCATGGATCCCGAGTCTGAGTACCCCTTCTCCTCTCCAGAAGCGGTGGCCCATCCGACTTCTAGTATGAGCGCCAGCGCCAGTACCACACTCGCGGGGATAAGATCCCCGGAGTCCGAGTCTGACGAAATATTCGCCATGAGACCAGTGGGGCTAGACGTTGCGACACCCTCAAGTCGCACCATCGCTCCCGCTTCTGGATCCCAGAATCGAGTGTGGGATAATCGAAATCCCTACTACACGTCACGGCCACAGAAGAGTTCACGGACAGGACGGAGAAAACACGATTATACCAGTAGTGCGTCGGAAAGTAGAGCATCAGCATCTACCTCGAACAGTCACGGTAGCAAGAGGAGAGCTCCTCGTCGCCGGGACGACTCGAATTGCGGTGACACTACCGTCAGTTCTTCTGCAGCGGGAACCCAAACGGTGAGCAGTATCTCGTTTGCGCCAGCCACGGAGCGACAGATGGAGCTTGCCGAGCGTATTGAGGAGATGCAGGGCAAGCTAGCGTTGTTCCAGCGAAACGCACCCTCCGTTGATATCAAACTTGCCGGGTCCGGGTCTATCTCTATAGCAAAGATGACCCATGATCATCGGGTTCTGAAGTGGCAGAAGAGAATAGAGAAGCTCATTCACCTAAAGGATTCTGATTGGGCGCTGGGTCTGACTGATGAACTTCCTCCTGGACTATTGCAGGGCAAGGAGTCCGACGACCTGACGTAGCCAGTGTGAGCTTCGGAGGATGTTTTCCTGTATTAATAGATGATAGTAAATATACCCGGGACTATTACCTGACGCTGCAAAATCTCCTCGGGAACTTGACATTGTCATGAATATGATGGAGGAAGACAAGCTGTGTTGTGGATCGGGATACCTGTGTGCGGGGCCGATTCGGCCGAGGCAAAGGCGTCGGACGTTGCCGAGCAACCACTGCGATAGTTGTCCTGAGTGGCGTCAATATTCACTTTCATAAGTTTGCTCACGTCTCTAGTACTACAGCCGGACTGACAAACCTAGGAGTTCAATTTAACTCGGTGGGCCCAATCTGGATTTATACGCTTCGTTCTTCGTTGACGGCCCCGAGGCCGTAGGTTTTTGTTATCGAACCAGGAGTCGAAGGCTAATGGATCACCGTAAGAGTTGTAAGTTGAAATCACGGTCCAAAGCGATGCTTCTCCTAAGAGTGGTCATGATAGTTTATACCAGCCTACACCTTACACGGTTGGACTCCGAAATGAGTGTATGGCCAATAGTCAACTATCCCGGGCCTCAATCAAGCACCTGCCAAGATTCATGCCATTTTGAGTGTCCAAACATCATTGATCATCGCACTGTGACTACGATGGTTGACATGGTCTTTGAATTTGAAAGAAAAATTTCAACTGGAGCACTCGTATAGAATATCACCATACCAAATCCGACAGGTCATATACAACGGCACCTCGCGAACCACGATGATTCCAGCACCACACCGTCGAGTTCGGCCGG